CTATTTTAGGGAAGAAAACCAAGAATTCCAGGCTAAACAGATGCAAACAGATGATCTGAAGAAAAAACTTGACAAAAGAAGAGAAGAAATAGTGAAGACACCATCCTTCTAGTTTTCGATTATAAAATTCAAGAAGTTAATCAACAACTCTGTCTAACCTTCTGGCAAAAATTTTTCGTTAGAAGGAAACAGTTAACACGCTTTATAGCAAAAACAAGGCTGAAGATTGGATTTAGAATTCAACGACGTAAACTTATCTAGCTAATGACATATTCTTGACTCACGAATGATCTTTGTTCGATGCTACTGAGGATCACTTCCTCCTGATCGTGATGCCCCTTCTGTTTTGTCTTGAATGACATGTCGCAGCATTTCTCTATTACCTCATTTGTTCTATCTGAACCAAAGTCCACTGAGAAGGAGCCAATTTTTCACTGCTGAAGTCTATCTCTCATTTTTTGGTCGTTGGATGAGGTATCGCTCCACAGTTCTGCAGTAAACTGCTAAAGAGGAGGTCACAGTGCCAGAGAGAGCTCTGAGGAATGCCACAAACAAGCTAATCCTCAGAGAGTAGTCACAAAGAATGCCATTGATTAGGGTATGCAACAGACGGACAAAGGACTCTAAAAATTGAAATCTACGACCTTTTCAACGTCCACTGACAGAACTACCATAAAATGAGAGCAGAGGATGATCAAAGTCAGAAAATACGACGCTTAGCATTTCGCAGATCTGTTGATCGTTTCATGGTGAGTGGATCCGGCGCAATTTGTCAAAAGCAGGCAGACAAAAATTTTTTGAAATATGAGCCTTCAGCTTTACTTCAGCACATATGATCGGTTTTTGACTATGGTGAAACCGACATATATTCATTGCGATGTTGGTTTTCGTTTCACGTCTTTGATGGACAATATTTATGTTGCCCTTCATTTCATTGTCTATTGTTGCCTGGTTTTAAGGTCAGTTTCTACAATCATCAGGTAGCATAGCGCGTAGTGTCCTGTTTCCATTCCCACAGAGTGGTAGCTACTTCGGAAAGGAAGGATGCGAGTGACCGGACCGGGACTCGAAACCAGGGCCTCTCGATTCTGAGTTCGATCCCTAGCCATTGATCAATCACGTTCACCAGTCGTCTTTTAAAAATGACCTTACCACAAAAGAGTCGCGAGAGTCAGAAAATCTATAACTCATTTAGTTCATTCGAGAACTCGGTGCTTACCTATAGAAATTCTGCTTCAGCAATCGTTCGACAAGGAAATGACTTTACTACGCTTCATGCTTTGCCACTGACACTCGGTTCTTGTAGGGTCAGCGCGAGTTTCGTCGACGTACGCCTACGGCCTGAGCCAGGTTATGACAGCAGGAAGTATTAGTGGTCGAAACGCGTCGAAGCGCTGAACAAACAAGTCATGGCACGAGGGTGTGCTACCGCAAACGGATCGCGTTGCGACGCCGCCGTCGTTTCAACAGAAGCCAAGTTGACAGAAGTACTTTACATTGTTCAAAGATGGCCGTTGACCGTTAGGTATCCAGCATTTATATGCCTGGATGTATCGTTCACCGTACGCTGTACGAAATCCGTACCGGTTCCGACGAAAACTGATCCTTCAAACCGGTTCGTTGCTCACCTCATGAAACGGCCGTAAAGGGTTTACAAAAGTTACGTTGTTGACGATGAACGATTATTTGTTCAGCGCTAACCGAGAATTCATGAGATGGGGACCAATAAGGGTTTCCATGCCATCCGAAATATTGCACGCAGTTTGAAGGTTCACTGACTGAATGGAGTCACGAAGAAACTCCATCTTTCAGCATATAAACAAATGTACCATTACCACAGTCAGTGGTTGCACACAGCGAATAAATGGCAGTACTGTTTTACATTGAGGCATGCGAATATAACGACCGTGCGTTCCTGGATATCGAATCGTTCTCGATATCGAGCCTCATTGTGATACCTCCCTTCAAAGCTGTCAAAAAAGTTTCGTAACGGCCTTACTGAGCATTCGAGAGGTCTGATGAAATTAGGGAACATATACATTTAAGTGATGCAGTGTCATATTAAAGCACTAGAGAGGTTCGTCTCTTTATTTGTAAAACAATTAATCATTTCGAGTCGTTATGATGCTGGTAATATTGCCCAGTATTGTTACGCAAAGTCTGAGCAGCAGAATAATTAATAACCTCTGAGGTGGATCAGGTGATATTTCTTCAACATCAGTGCCATTTGCTCGAAAGGTACTATTCCACAAAGTGAGTCAAAAGTATTGTGAACGTATGCTCGATCGGTATCCGCAATTATAGATAGAATACGAGGAAGGTCACTTGGTCGCTGGTTTTATCCCATGTCCAAGAAATATGCTAAATTGTAGATGCGAGCAACCCGCGAGAGAAAGCCAGCTGGGGTCTGCACCGATGGTCTTTGCTGAGATACCTTGAACTGTTTGAATAGGCAGTGCATCCATGGTTTGTGATGTTCGTTGGAATCGCAATTTCGAAATATTTCGCTATGGTGCATTGTGAAAGGAAATACTCCTCTATGACATGCCCTACTTTGTTCCTCTATGCTGCATGCTGGCTTTCTGGTAAACGAATACCGTTTTCCGACTCAGCAAAAGAAGTCCA